AAATTCTACATCTAATTAATTGGCAAGTCCTGTGGCTGTACTTCTAAACATGTCCAGAATCAGACCACTTCACACTATCTACATTGCTCCCACCCTGGTCCAAACCAGCATCAACTCTCACATATTGAAAGAAAGCCCTTTCTTTTCTTTATCCTTGCCCCAGGCATTTAGAACATGCTAACAAGGAAGTCTGATCACACCACTTCTTGGTTTAAAGCACTCCAGTGGCTTCCCAGATCACTCAGATCAAAAGTAAAGCTGTTCCTTTGATCTCCAAGTCCCTGAACAATTTAGACTCCTCATTAACCTTTCTGATTTTATCAGCCTTCTGTCTTAAAGCCTCATCTTTCCTCAAGTTTCTCTGGCTTTTTCAAGTTTACCAGAGTGTTCCTGCCACAGGGCTTGAAGTTACCTGCCTGAAAAAGCTTTCCCACCCACCCACCTATGTACTAAGATGATTCACTACCTTACTTTTTACATTTACTCATTTACTCAGCTGTAACCTCCCTCCCCTGTACTGGGTATTGAATCCAGGGCATTGAGAATGCTAGGCAAGTGCTCTACTACTGAGCTATAATCCCACACCTTTTATTTTATTTTGAGACAGAGTCTTGTCTAGGCTGGTCTTAAATTTTCCTGCCTCACCCCCACCCCCAGTGCTGTGATTATAGGTATATGCTACCATGCCCACTGACATGTCACCCTCTTGTTAAGACTTTCCTAGCCCCCTTACATAAAATAAAGCTTAAATCACAAGACTACAATAGGATCTATAGTCAATACCATTTTTGAAAATGAGGAAAATATGTCCATACAAGCAGTCATGCATGTTTTGTAGGACCACCTACAAATCACAGGATATTGATTAATTTTAAAGATTTAATTAACTTTTAGAGAACTTTTTTCTCTCTCTCAGGGCCTTGTGTATGCTGTTTGCTTTTATAGTGAGACCAAATTGCCCAGGCTAGCCTCAAACTCATAATCCTCCTGCCTAAGCCCTTGAATAACTGGGATTACAAGTGTGCAGTATTATTCCTGGCTCAGGACATTTTTCAAAAATGAAATTAATTGTAATTCTAGTGTTCACTGTCAATCTGTTTGCCGATGTAAATAATTGTATTACCCTTCACATAAGGTAAGTCTGACTCCCAAAATATGCACATATAAGAGTAATGTGAATTGTTTAATATTATAAAATAAAGATAATAAACTGAGGAAAGAGACAAAGACTAGGAAACTGGAAACTCAAAGGATGGTGAAGACTAGGTTTGGAAGAGACAATGAAAAGAAAGAGATAGTTATTACTGTGGCCAGGAATAACATCATAGGATTTATATCTTGATGATGGGATCGTTTTACTATTGAGGGTAGTATGTAATTCTATAATTTAGAAGTATGAAAAAGATGGCCTAGTATTTCATTGACAAGGATGAAGATGTCACCATCTACAATAATGTCAGGAAATGAAAAGAGAAAAGGCAATCAGCCAAGTCTCTTTAGAAAGTATCCCATTGGGGTCATTTACTGTGAACTTCAATTATGTGGGCAAAAAACAAATAATACCAGCAAAAGTGAAAATACAGTTCCTATGGATAACCGCAAGTAGGAAAAAAAAAATTGTAGGGAAATAACCTGAAACAACATAGTTGTTATAAATTAAGAAAATTACAGAAAAAGTCAAGTTCCAATAGTAGAGTGGAATTTAGAAGGAGGTTTGCTTTTGACATATTTCAGGGGCATTGCCAAGAATAAACAGGAGGTCTAAAATTTAAGGAGAAAAGAGGGAGATGAAAAGTGCACTTATGAAATTAGGAAAGAAGGAATTTGATTTTTTTTTTTTTTTTTTGGTGGGGTATGGAGTTTGAACCGAAGGGCACTTAACTACCCAGCCACATCTCCAGCCCTTTTAAAAATATTTTATTTAGAGACTGGGTCTCTCTGAGTTGCTTAGGGCCTCACTAAGTTGCTGAGAGGCTGACTTTGAAGTCACCATCCTTCTTCCTCAGCCTATGGAGCCACTGGGATTACAGGCATTTGCCACCACGCCCAGGAGAAGCAGCAATTTAACAAAGAAATCATCAATCACAAAGCTTCCCAAATATCTGTCAAACTTTCAGTTATTTAGTGGTAGAGGCAGAGGAATGGAGAATCCATAATCAGGATATGGGCAAGAATTGACTTAGGAAAAAATAGCCTAACCCAAAATAAAGATACCACCTTTAGGGAAAGTTTGTCTACTGGAAGATAGAGATGGAAAGCTATTTTTAATTCTCTCTTCAGTTCCAGGTAAATTTGCTATAAAGAATTCACACACACACACACACACACACACACACACACACACACACACATACACACATACAAATAATTTTTAAAGAAAAGAGTTAAGTAACTTCTTTTGGAGCCTGTATCTGGATTATGTATAAATTAAGCTGGGAGAATTTTAAATGCTGGAACTCCCACCCAAGTGGGGAGCCTGCAATGGTTGTCCTCCCCACAAAACAAAAGAGGGCTGGGGATGTGGCTCAAGCGGTAGTGCGCTCGCCTGGCATGCGTGCTGCCCAGGTTCGATCCGGACACAACAACTAAAAAATAAATATTAAAATTTCTCTCTCTCTCTCTTTCTCTTTCTCTTTCTCTCTCTCTCTCTCTCTCTCTCTCTCTCTCTCTCTCTCTCTCTCTCTCTCTCTCTCTCTCTCTCTCTCTCTCTCTCCCCCTCCCTCCCTCCCTCCCTCCCCCTTCCCCAACAACACAGGTGCATATGCGCTGGTGAGGTTAAACTAACAACTCCACCTTGACTCTCATTTCCCTACCCTTCACCTTAGAAATAAAGGTGGCGGGAATCGGAGACCTGTAGCTCCTAAATGATAAGAGTGCTTTAGAATTGCCTGGAGGGTGTGTCCCAACTCCAAGGCTGGGCTCCACCCCACCACCCCCCAGTTAAGGGTGCTGTGGACTGTGGATCTGGAGGGGTACAGAGAATTTCTGCTGCTTTTCGGATAAGGTACGTTGTGCCGACAGGACCACGCTTCGAGAACCACCATTCTAGGCAGAATCTAGGACAAATCCAGTAAAAGGAACCAGCCGGCTCTTCCAGGTGGCCTTCTGGGCTTGCTCAACTTTCCCCTAGACTCCTAATCTCTAAAGGAAGGAGGGCATGTTTTGGTCTTCGTTTTTTTGTGTCTCTAGCGCCAGATGCTGGAGACTGGGAGCCCGAGTATGAACAAACCCTGATAGTATGTGGAGGGGAGGGCATCGTGCGTGTAGCGACCTGGACTTTACAGGAAGGCCTTGCAGCTGGCTCATCTCCTGAAGTCAGTAGCAGCACGTGCTGCCCAGGAGCTCACAGCAACACGCCTGGGCTCTGCTGGGAGTGCAGACCACCAGAGGGGAGCGTCCCCCAGGGCAGACATGGGAGGGTCTTGCTCTGGCTGGTGGGATGGAGGAGGAGGTGATCCTCGAGGTGGGCGTTGGGGGACAGGTAGCCGCGGAATGGGTCTTCCCACACGCGAGGGACCAGTCTCCTGGGGAAAAAGGGTGGCTTTGCTGGAGGGGGGGGGAGGGGCGAGGCTGCGGGTGTGGGCCGAGCGCGGTGCCGGTTAGTCCCCCCTTGACCCCGCACCTGGAGGCTGCTACCGGGAGCTGGAACTGCGGCGTCTGCCCAGAGCCGCCCTCACCGGTAAGGTGGGTGCTGGCCAGGCAGCGGCCCCTGGAGTTCACTCATCCCACCGCAGTCGCAGGACTCAATAGCTCTTCCCACACCGGGCTCTCTCATAGCCCTGGGCTGGATTCACAGCCCCAGAACTGAATGGACCTTGACGGCTGGGTTTCCAGTGAAATTGCCTCACATTCGATACCCCTCCCCCGCTGGACATTTCCTTTAGGTTTTCTTAAGGCTCTGCTTCAGGCTTTCTGTCCTCCTCTCTGGAAATCTCTGCTGCAGCATCTCCCCATTTCACTTTCAGCCTCTCTGAACTCTCAGGGAGTCGCTGCATCTCCATTTCTTATCCTCTCAATCTTGCCTAGAAGGTCCTGAGTGCCCTGCTTTTCTAGTTGTTATTTTATTTAATCTTAGGGTCCCTGTTCTGTATTTTCTCTGATTTTCCAAAATTTACATCCCAACTCTTCCTACGGCAATACTCATTAAGTCCAATAAAAGCTGACAGGAACTGGAGACAACTTAGGTTTTTTAGTGATTCTGGCAACACATAGATTTTTTTTTAATTACTGGTAAATTAAAAAATTGACTTGAATATTACAGTGATTATGAGAACTTGTGAAGGGGTGGGGAAAAAGTGGATTGAATCAGTGCACACTATGTGCATGTACTGAAATTTTGTGTATTGAATTGCTACATACAATAGATACATGTTTATAAAAAATTTTAAAAAATAACCGGGGGTGGGGGTGTGTAACTCAGTGGTAGAGCATTTGCTGTAACATTCTCAAGGCCTCCTTGTGTTCTATCCCTGGCAATGCAAAAACAATATGGACATCAACTATTTTTAAAAAATTCTTGAGTGTCTACTATGATTCAGGCAATGCTTTGGGTGCTGGAATAACAACTATGCCCTGTGCATACTGCTTTTCTCCTCCCAGATGGGCACAGCCCTCTTGTCCTTGCTATACAATATTGATTCAGTCCATTCTGGACTGGTAAAAAATTGATACAGAGAGAAAAGAGTATTTGCTCTATGAGTAGCATAAAGAAAAACAAAGGCCACATAAATTATAAAATATGTTCTGGCAATTCAATAATTATATACACAATATATAATTGTGTATAATTATATATTGTGTATATAAATATACACAATACACTGTGTATAATATCATTATGCACAGTTGCAGAGTGAAAAACTTAGGTTAGAGAAAAGAACTGGGACCCTCTTTCTAGAGGAATTTCTTCTACACCCTATTCAATGTTCTTTACAAAGCAACTTCCTTCCTTCCTCCAACCCACCATATCTCTTTGACCACATTCTATCTTATCTGTTTAGCATGTGGCCCTTCCTGGTGAGATTTGAATGTATCCTGTTCCTCGCTTCAGCCTTTTCAGTGATAACTCATCTCAGCCAAGGCCTGTCACACAGGTATGTTTGAGAAAGGAGGACTGGGGAGGTTTTGCTTACCATTGGAGGAATGTTTAGGGCCTCTGAAAAAAAGGTCTTGATTTGCCCAGCCTATGTAAATGGTAACATCTCTAGGATTTCATGTACCATCTCTGTCCTCATAGGATTAATCAAAGTCACCTGATCCCCTCCTACCTGAAAAACCGCAAGTCAGGTCTAAAAGTTGAGGGCTCAAACTTCACACTAGGAGGCTTTCCGTTCCTGATCATAGCAGGCACTATTCACTATTTCCGGGTGCCCAAGGAGTATTGGAGAGACCGTTTGCTGAAGATGAAGGCAGGTGGCTTCAACACCCTCATCACGTGAGTACTTTTTTTGAGTGTTTATTTTAATTTAAGAACTTGTCATCTGAATTCGTAAAGATTGACCTTTTTAGTACTTTCTTTGTTGTTAGAATATCCAAGTCTCCTCTTGATATCCTGAAAATTTCTTGGACCCAGAATTCCAACTTTCAGAGGCAGTGGCAAGTACAAATGGCAGTAGCCCATGTTGTCCCTAACTATTAAAAAATATCATGTCTGGGTCTTAGGCATGGGTCTCATGCCTCCTCAGATAACTTCACTTGTCATTGGACTCATGGCCTGTAGTTTTAAATCCCAGGGTATGATACTGTTCCACAAAATCTTGTCTTTGAAGATGGGATTCATTGAAAATCAGGTTTAGCAAGTAATCAATTAAAGAAAATAATTTTTGTTGTTTGTATGCATAACAGCTACCATTCTGATTGGAGTGAAATGAAATCTTAGAGTGGTTTTGATTTGCATTTTTCTAATTGCTAGTGATGATGAACATTTTTTTCATGTGTTTGTTGATTGATTGTACATCATCTTCTGAGAAGTTTCTCTTCAGGTCCTTGGCCCATTTATTGATTGGGTTATTTGTTTGTTTGTTTTTTTTTTGATGTCTAGCTTTTTGAGTTCTTTATATACCCTAGTGATTAGTGCTCTATCTGATATGTGAGGGGTAATGATTTGCTCCCAATATGTAGGTTCTCTATTCACCTCACAGATTGTTTCTTATAGTTAAGAAGAAACGTTTTAGTTTGAGTCCATTCCATTTATTGATTCTTGATTTTATTCTTGTGCCATAGGAGTCATATTAAGGAAGTTGGGGCCTAATACCATATGATGGAGATTAGGGCCTACTTTTTCTTCTATAGATGCAGGGTCTCTGGTTGTATTCCTAAGTCCTTGATTTATTTTGAGTTGAGTTTTGTGCATGGTGAGAGATAGGGGTTTAATTTCAATTTGTTGCATATGGATTTCCAGTTTTCTCAGCACCATTTGTTGAAGAGACTATCTCTTGAACATCCAATGCATGTTCTTGGCACCTTTGTCTAATATAAGATAATTGTAATTTTGTGGGTTAGTCTCTGTGTCCTCTATTCTGTACCATTGGTTTACTAGCCTGTTTTGGTGCCAGTACCAAGTGTTGGCCAGGATGTGGGGAAAAAGGTTCACTCATATACTGCTGGTGGGATTGCAAATTGGTGCAGCCAAGAAGGAAAGCAATATGGAGATTTCTTGGAAAATTGAGAATGGAACCATTTGACCCAGCTATCCTTCTCCTCTATCTATACCCAAAGGACTTAAAAATAGCATAATACAGTGACACAGCCACATCAATGTTTACAGCAGCACAATTTACAATAGCTAAATTGTGGAACCAACCTATATGCCCTTCAATAGATGAAGGGATAAAAAAGTGGCATATATACATAATGGAATATTACTCAGAAATAAAAGAGAATAAAATCATGGCATTTGCAGGTCAATGGATGGAGTTAGAGAAGATAACGCTAAGTAAAGTTAGCTAAGCCCAAAAAGACAAATGCTGAATGTTTTCTTTGATATAAGGAGGCTGATTCATAGTGGGATAGGGAGAGGGAGCATTGGAGGAATAGAACTCTAGATAGGGCAGAGGGGTGGGAGGGGAAGGGAGGGGGCATGGAGTAATTAATAATGGTTTAATGTGATGATCACTATTATCCAAAGTACATGTATGAAGACATGAATTGGTGTGAATATACTTTGCATACCACCAGAGATATGAAAAGTTGTACTCTATATATGTAATAAGAATTGTAACACATTCTGCTGATATATATAAATAAAATTTTAAAAAAGAAAATAATTCTTTTATTTCTGTCCAAGCTTTGAAATTGCATGTGCAAACTGTTTTGACAATCAGTTTTATTTGTGTATTCTTTTTCAGTGGTTTAGCTATTTTTAAAATACAGGTTTAGAAGGAAAATATCTGGAGTTTAATATGGAAAGTGTTAACAGATGATGTTTTAAAACACTTCCCTTCCAGATTGACATAATTCCTTTTACACATCATTTCTCCTTCATTATTTGTTTGCTTTTGTATAGTACATTTGTTACAGTCTCTGAACCTACATTGATACATCTTTACCACCTATAATTTATATTAGGATTCTTTCTTTTTTAAAATATTTTTTTAAGTTGTCAAATAACCTTTATTTTATTTATTTATATGTGGTTCTGAGAATTGAACCCAGTGCTTCATACATGCTAGGCAAGCGCTCTGCCACCAAGCCACAATCCCAGCCCCTTAGGATTCTTTCTTGACATTGTACCTTCTATGGGTTTTGACAAATGCATAAAGATGTATACCCAGCATTATAATATCACACAGAACAGTTTGCTGCCTAAAAATCCTCTGTGTCCTACCCATTGATCCTTCTCTCCCTGTGAACCCTTGGCAACCACTGGTCTTTTTTTTTTTTTTTTAATGTCCCTTTAGCTTTGCTGTTTCTGATGTCATGTGGTTGTAATCACATATTATGTAGTCTTTTCAGAATGGCTTTTTTAAAATTAGAAATATGCATTTGAAGTTCCTCCATGTCCTTTTATGGTTTGATACCCTATTTCTTTTTAGTCTTAATTAATTTCCGTTGTTTGAGTTTACTAGTTTATTTATCTATTCTCTCCTTGAAGGACATCTTGGTTGCTTCTAAGTTTTATGGATAATGTTGCACGCCAGTTTTTGTGTAGTTGTAAATCTTTAACTCATTTAGATAAATACCAAAGATTATATTGGTATTGACTTTTTATACTTTTGCCAGATCCAAGGTCATCTTGATTTTCTCCTGTTGTTTTGTAGAATTTTGTATTTTACTTTAGATTATGTTCTATTTTAAGTTAATTTTTGTGAGGAGTGTATGGTTTCGGTTTGTATTCTTTTATCTTGTATATTAGATGCTCAGTTGTTGAAAAGACTATTCTTTTTTTTTTTTTTTTTTTTTTTTTTTGGATACTGGTACTGGGGATTGAACCCAGAGTGCTTTACTACTGTACTGCATACTCAGTTCTTTTGTTTTGTTTTTAATGAAGCAACAAATTTCTTTAATTTACAGTAAGCTCATATAAACTGATAAGAAAACCCAGTTCTTTTTATTTTTTTATTTTGAGACAGGTTCTCGCTGAGTTGCCAACACTGATTTCCAACTTGCGATCCTTCTGCCTCAACCTCCGTAGGTACTGAGATTTCAGGCTTGCACCACCATGCCAGTATGGAAAAGATTATTTTTGCTGCATTAATCTATTTGTCTATTCTTTTACTATAGCTTTGCAGTGAGTCTTGAAGTCATGTAGTGTCCATTTGATCATTTCTAATATGTGGGAAAGCAATTGACTTTCTAAGGCATATTAATTAGCCTTATATTCTGCAACTTTTCATATTATAGTTTCCAGAACTTTCAGTTCAATGACAAGAGGCGGTGGTGGGAGGGAAAATCCTTGCCTTGATCCTGATCTTAGTAGGAAAGCTCCATTTTTTTGCTATTTTCAGAAGAACTTTTAGCATTTGTTTCTTATAGTTTATTATTGATTCATTTTGTTATACATGGTATTTGCACTTATAAGAAAGCTTCTAAGTGTAAATCATTGATTTCAGGTCATAATCTTTTCTAATATGTGTATTCAGTGCATTTCCCTCTTATGCACTGCTTTTTTATATATTGCTACTTTAGATAGATTATATTTTTATTTAATTTACTTCAAAATAGTTTTTAATTTCTCTTGACACTACTTTTTTGACCATGTGTTATTTAGAAATATGCTGTTTAATCTCCAAATATTTTGGGACGCTCTAGTTTTTCTGTTACTAATTTCTTGTTTAATCTTACTACACCTTTAAGAGTATATTTTGTCCATCTATTCTTTTATATTTGTCAAGGTATTTTTTGTGACCAAGAATGTGATTTGTCTTGTGAATGTTCCAGGTAAGCTTGAGAAGAATGTATTTTGTGCTGTTGATGGATAAAATATTCTACATATATAATTCAGTCCATTTAATTGATATCATTTAATTAAACAATATCTTCATTGATTTTCTGTCAGCTGGATATGTCTAATACTGATGAAGGATATTTAAATATCCAAATATAATGTTGGATATACCAATTTCTGTTTGCAATTCTAAATGCCTTATGTATTTTTATGCTTTGTAGGCATATATACATTAAGGAGTAAGGCTTTTTGGAGACTTGATTGCATTGTCATTTTCAGAAGAACTTTTAGCATTTGTTTCTTATAGTTTTTTATTGATTATTTTTGTTATACATGATAGTAGAATCCATTTTGATATAATTATAGAAGCATGGAACATATCATATTCTTTTTAGGACTCCATTTTTGTGGATATACATGATGGTGAGATTCACTGTGATGTAATTCATATATGTACATAGGAAAATTATTTCGAATTCATTCCACTGTCTTCCCTTTTCCTGTCCCCCTCTCTTCCTTTTATTCCCTTTTGTCTAATATACTGAACTTCTACCCCCTACCACTTATTATGGGTTAGCTTCCACATATCAGAGAAAACATTTGACTTTTTTTTTTTTTTTTTTTGGAATTGGCTTATTTCACTTAGCATGATGGTCTCCAGATCCATCCATTTACTGGCAAATGGTATAAAGTCATTCTTCTTAATTCCTGAGTAATACTCCATTCTGTATATAGACCACATTTTCTTTATTTATTCATCTGCTGAAGAGTAGCTGAGTTGGTTCCATAGCTTAGCTATTATGAATCGTGCTGCTGTAAACATTGATGTGGCTGCATCACTGTAGTATGCTGATTTTAAATTCTTTGGATATATACTGAGAAGTGAGATAGCTGGGTCAAATGAGGGTTCCATTTTTTTTTTTTAAAGAGTTTTATTACATTTCGAACTGAACTGATTTTTTTTTTTAAAGAGAGAGTGAGAGAGGGGAGAGAGAGAGAATTTTTAATATTTATTTTGTAGTTCTCGGCGGACACAACATCTTTGTTGG